CACCGCGCTAGGGGGGCGGGGCTGGAAAACCGCCCGGCTCGGGCTCCAGCTGGCCGCTGTGCGGCTCCCCCACTCTGAGCCTCGACCCTTCTTCACAGTCCACCTGGCGGGGCAGGGGAGCAGCTTCCCAGAGGGCAGCAGGAAGGTCACCTTCACGGAGCACTCCCACACAGGGCCGACTACTCTGACTTATCAGGCGCAGAGAGGTCAAGCTGTACACCCAGGTCCCACAGCCCATCCTCTGCAGAACGCGGGCAGGGGAGCATTGCAGAGCACAGGTGACGACGCCCCACGTGGACGCATGGATCTGTGCGTGCGGGGGGGCCGGCCTTGTGCAGCCTATTGCCCCCACCCACGTCTCCTTCCTCCCCACATTCCCCAAGGTGGCCTGCTGACCTTGGTCAGCCGGGAGTCCCACCTCTGCCCTCTGTGAACAGAGGCCCTGCTGCTCCCCCAGGCATCCTGGGACTCCGTCAAGAACACCAGCTTCAAGGTCACCCAGAGCTGGGTTAGACCCTGACATAACAATAAAGCCCTGGCCAACCAGCTTCCTCCTCTCCTTGCTAGTTTGTTTTGAGAGGTTTTTGCTATAGGGCGTGTGCGCTTGCCAAAAAGACAGAAAGACAGGGAGACAGAAAGCAAGAAACCACCCCCTCAGGGTGGGATGGCCACGCCACAATCCCTTCTCCTCAATTCTCCTCTCGGGATCTTGGGCACGCACATACACGTGCCCGGCTTGAGTTTAAGCCACTGGGTCCGGGACTCGAACCACGGTCAACTACTTGGGAGTCCAGCAACGTAGCCATTACGCCAACTGCTGGTCCCTGCTTCCCTCCTTGGGTTCTCTGTCTGTGAAATGGGCATGATAATGTTTTTTTTTCTTTTCCAGTGGGCACATGTGCTTGCTGGAGAGAGACAGAGAGATCGCGGGAAAGTACAAAAGCACAGCGCCTCCCCCCGTGAAGATGGTCACACCGCAAGCCCGTCTCCATTCCCCTTCCTTCTGGGATTTTGGACACACACTCATGCCCGGCGTGTTCTCAAGCCCCCAGTTCCAGGACAGGGCTGCATGGTCGGCCACATGGGAGCCAGCACCTCACCACCACGCCATCGGCCATCGGCTGGCCACCTGCTGGTGTGACCACTCTTGGGCCAGCAGGTCGGAGAGTCTTCCAGGGGACGGGGTGACAGACGCCGAGCACAGACACCCTGGCCCAGCACTGGGGGCCGGCCTCCGTGGCCTCACCTGGAAGATGACGATCCAGGCGTAGCCGATGTTGTCAAAGTTGATGGCGCCCTTGTGGGGGTTGGCACTGCCGGTGCGGCACACGTTGTAATAGCGGTTCCAGTTGACGCAGAGGCCGCTGGCGTTGAGGTCCTGGCGCGCCGCCCCGAAGTCGTAGACGTCGTCCTTGGACAGGCAGCACTCGCGGCCCTGCTCCTTGAGCGGGGGGATCTCGTGGCAGCCCATGATGCCGTTGTCCCCCGACAGCGAGCAGATGAAGGGCATCTCGTCGTCCTCCTCCGGCTGGTAGTAGGGGGGCAGCGCCACATCCCCTTGTCTGTCCGCAGGTGGAGGCGGGTGGAAGGGAAGGGGACGGTCACAGTCAGGGAGGGGCCTTCCTGCCCTGCCCACCCAGCTCTGCCATGGGGGCGGGGCAGTGCCAGGGGCCGGAGCTGCCCTGAGAGGCCTCCAGGCAATAGGCCAGGCCAGCGAGAGCACGTGGAGTCGTGGGAATTCATGGATGTGCACGAGCTCTGCTCCTGCCTGAGACGCTGCCTGGTCCCCACCCTGGCCAGGCCCCGGTCCTGAGCTAGACCCTGCCACAGCCTGCCCCTGTGAAAACCCTGTGGCCAGCATCTCTGCTCCTGCCCTCTGAGTTAGGGCCTCAGCGTCTCTCCCCTCCAGAGGGGCCAGACCTGAGGTGCCCTCGGCCTTGCCTCCCACCCGACCTGAGCTCTGCGGCCCTCCTGTTCTGCAGCCGTGCTCAGGCCGGCAGGCGGCCTAGGAAAGGAGGGGCAGAGCTCGCCCAGCCCCTGCCTCATCTGACATTTATTTACATGTATCACCCCCTCCCCAGGTGGGGCCAGCCAAGCACACGCACAGCACCCTGCCTCCAGCTCCCCTAATCTCAGCTGCGACAGGAGTCCCAGGGGTGATGGCAGGCCCAGGGAGAACTGTGGTCCTCATTCCCAGCCTGCCTTGGGGTGGTAAGGGCGTTCTCGCAATCATTCAATCACTCATTCACTCATTCATTCATTCACTCTCATTCAACAGGCAGCTGCGGAGTACTCTTGCCAAGCCCAATTCCAGGCCCTGGGAAGAGTCCCGAAGCAGGTGGCCCTGTTCTTATGGACAAATTAGGTTCTAGAAGCCTCAGAGACAAAGAAATACACTGTCTAGACACCCAACCACCACGTAAATAAACCGACAAGTGAGACTACTTCTGAGGTAACCAGGAGGAAATCAAGCAGGGTGGTAGAATCGTGTGCTTTGTGGGGGAGAGGCAGTGATGGAAGGCTTCCAGGAGGAGGTGAGAGATAACGAAGTAATGAGAAGGGGCTGGCCACAGCACGATGGAGGGAAAGATTTGTATGGGACAGAAGGGTCTGGACACGTCTCGAAACCCCACAACTGAGAGCTCACACCTGCTCCCCCACCCTTGAAGGTCAGACCAGGAGAAGCAGGCGTCTACACCCCGCTGCCCCAGGCCCTGCCTCAGGACTCACCTCTTCTGGGTGGCTGACACAGTTGTAGACCCTCCCTCCTCCCTACAAGACCCTTAGCTACCAAGGTGCCCTCTCTGGTCTCCCGAAGTGCCCCACTGTTCCCCCACAGCAAGGAGTGGGTAGGCCAGTCCCTGCCCCAACCTTCCTCCCTACCCTCACCCCCACCCCAGACAGGTCTAGCGGGAGACAGCTCACCCCACCCCACCCTGTGCAGTGTCCCCACGTCTTCTAGCAGTTGCCCCTGGTCTTGACCAACTCCTGGGAGAGACATTTGCGATCAGCTTCCAGCCTGGTGCCCCTCCAGGGCAGGAACCATTTCTTCTACTGCACCCTCAGCCCCAGGCATGTGCTTGGCTAGAAGAGGGGCACTTGGGTGTGTTTGTCAAATGAGAAAAGGAATGGCTACTTCTGCTTTTTGAGTGAAATTTTCATTATAGGTGCATGTGCTGGCTGGAGAGACAGAGACAGAAAGCAAGAAATCACCCCCGAGGAGGGACGGCCATGCTATAACCCCTTCTCCTTGACTATTTTCTCAGGATCTGGGGCACACAGGCACATACATGTGACCAGCATGAGTTTCAAGCAACCGGGTGTGAGACTTGAACCATGGTCAGTCAGCATATGGGAGTCCAGTGCCTTAACCATCATACCACCTGGCCCCATAGCTTTCCTATTTCTGACTCCCAGGGCCTAGCTCTTAGTAGCAATGCACATGCTAAAAATGAAAGGATCGGGATCAGCAGATGGCATGGTGGCTAAAGCACTCCCACATGGCTGACCATGGTTCAAGTCCCGGACCTGGTGCCTTGCTTTCGCACTTTGCCTCTCTCTTGCTCTCTGTGTCTCTCTATGGTCAAATTAAAAAGAAATGAATAAATACATAAAATTAAATTAAATAATTCTTTAAAAAAAAATAAAAAGAAAGGATCTGGGTCGGCAGAAGCTATGGTGGTTAAGGCAACTGAACTCCCCACATGGAGGACCACAGTTTGAGTCCCAGACCTGGCAGCTTGCTTTCTCACTTTCTTTCTCCCTCTCTCTCTGTCTCTCTCTGGTCAACTTCAAAAAAATAAAATTAAAATAATGACAATGAATAAAAGATTAAATAAAATAATTCTCTAAAAATATAATAAGTAAAAACGAAAGGATGATGGCCAGCAGGTGGCGTGGTGGTTAAGGCACAGAACTCCCACATGACCAATCTCAGTTCAAGTCCCAGACCTGGCATGTTGCTTTCTCACTTTCTCTCTCTCTCTTCCTGATGAATTAAAATAATAATAATAATAATAATTTTTAAAAATTCAATAAATAATTCTTTTTAAAAATCATTAAAAGATGGGGGCCAGCAATGGCGTGGTGGTTAGAGGTGCCGAACTCCCACATGGCCAACCGTGATTCAAGTTCCAGACTGGCTGCTTGCTTTTTCACTTTCTCTGTCTCTCTCTCATAAGTGCACATGCCCTATTGCAAATTTAAAATAATAATAATAATAGGGGTTGGTAGGTAGCATAGTGGTTAAGACACTGACACATGGCCGACCATGGTTCAAGTCCTGGACCTAGCAGCTTGTTTTCTCACATTCTCTCTCTCACCCTCTCTCGTCAAGTTAAAAATAATAATAATAGTAATAATAATAACAAGTAAAATAATTCTTTTAAAAATAAATAATAATAACAAATTAAATCAAATAATTACTTTTTTAAAAAATGAAAGTATGAGTCATTCCTGTAGCTCAGTAATTCAGAAAGCCAGCTCTCACATGGCCAACCGTGGTTCAAACCTGGCCCTGGTGAGAAGAAACTCATGCCCCAAATCCTGGCAGGAGTTAGAAACAGACGAAGAGAACTGTGGTATGACTATGCCCTGTTGGGGGGGTGTTCCCTCCCCCGCCCTCTATCTCTCTGGCAAATATATGTACCCTCTTGTAGCAGAAACTTTTTTTTTTTTTTTGGAGAGGTTTTTGCTATAGGGTGCATGCACTCGCCAGAAAGACAGAGAGAGACAGAAAGTGAGAAATCACCCCCCAGGGGGGATGGCCACGCCGCATTCCCTTCTCCTCCGTTCTCCTCTTGGGACCTTGGGCACGCACGCACACGCGCTCAGCGTGAGTTTGAGCCACCAGGTCCGGGACTTGAACCGCGGTAGACTACAATGGAGTCCAGCGACATAGCCATTACACTAACTGCTGGTCCCAAAAACATTTTTTAATGAAAGGCTATGTCTGCCCAAACGCACATACACACACACGCACACGTAGACATTGACCCCTCACCACTAAAGGCATGCTATCGATGTTGGATTTTTCAGATGAGTCCCAACTCCTCGGAGAGCCGAAGCCCCATTTGTCTCACTGCCTTGGTAACAGGCTCTCTGAGAAGTGCCCGGCTCCTGCTCATACTCAGGGCCCTGTGCGCCCCTCGGTCCCCAAGTCACAGGAGGGGCATCTGTGCTGTAGCCGGGTTCAGGGGCTGTTTCCGGAGTTCTTTTCCACGGGCAGCACTTCTGCTGGCTCCCGCCCCTCCCCTGCCCTGCGGTCCCATCCCCAGTGACGGACGTGGTTGAGCCGTGAGAAGCCAGGAGCCGCGTGGGCGGAGCACTCACATGGTGAAGTTCTCCTCCAGGAAGCAGCGGTTGCGCAGCAGGCCAGCCCAGAGCTGCACACCTATGATGCCGAAGATAAAGAAGACAAAGAAGCAGAGCAGGAGGACATTGCCCAGCATGGGCAGTGTGTCCAGGAGCAGGTTCACCAGGATCCGCATACCTGGGAGGGCACAGGGTGGAGGGGTCGTCAGAGAGCAGAGGGAGGGGGAACGGGGCTAGGGAGGCAGAGGGACAGTGGGAGGACAGGAGGGAGCACACGTGCAGGGGCTTCTTGCTGCTCCTGTTCACCCGATGGTTGTCCGGTAAACGCCCTCGGTAACTGCCCCTCCAGCCGGAGAGCCATGGCAATGGCTCTGGGCCCTGCGCTTACAGGCACTGAAGGTGCATCTGTATGTACCAAGTGCTCTCCTGGGGACCTGCACAAATATGAGCTCCTTCCATCCCCACAGCTCTGGGAGGTTAGCACTGTTTTGTTTGTTTTTGTTGCCGTAAGGCACACACACTCACTGGAGAGAGACAGAGAGAGGGAAAGCAAGGGCGATGGCCAGGCCACAATCCCTTCTCCATTTTCCTCTCAGGACTTTGGGCACACACATGCCTGGCATGATTTTCAAGGCAGCCATGGCAATGGCTCTGGGCCCTGCGCTTACAGGCACTGAAGGTGCATCTGTATGTACCAAGTGCTCTCCTGGGGACCTGCACAAATATGAGCTCCTTCCATCCCCACAGCTCTGGGAGGTTAGCACTGTTTTGTTTGTTTTTGTTGCCGTAAGGCACACACACTCACTGGAGAGAGACAGAGAGAGGGAAAGCAAGGGCGATGGCCAGGCCACAATCCCTTCTCCATTTTCCTCTCAGGACTTTGGGCACACACATGCCTGGCATGATTTTCAAGGCACCAGGTCCAGGACTCAAACCGTGGCTGACCGTGTAGGAGTGCAGTGCCTTCACCACGATACCCACTGGCCCTGAGGCTGACAGCATTACCCCTATTTTATGGAGTAGGCAACTGGAGGGTCAAAGAACCACTACTTGCCCCAGGTCACCCAGCAAAGAAGCGGCAGTCTGGATTTAGCCCAGGTGCCACGTCTGGCCCTCGGCCATACCCCTCATCCTGGAGGCCTGGGATCAAGGCTGGCTCACGTCTGTGTGTGCAGTACCCACACAGGGCGGGCCCAAGAGGTGCCTGGTGAGCGTGTCCTGCATGCCCTTCATGTCCACAGAAGGCCGTGGTCCCCTCGACCCTGTCAGCACACACCCCTACTCCTCCAGCACAATTCCAGCAGGTCTCCACGTAGACACCACAGCCACCCACCCCAATGCATGATGGAACCAGACTGAGCCCCAGGACCACCTTCAGAAGAGATGTGGCCCTGCTAAGGGGCTCAGATCTGGCCTGGTGCCGGGAGGAGAGACTTCTCTCCCTGAGAGAGAGCTGTGATTAACCAGCCAAGACACTGCACAGAGGAGAACCTGAGGAAATGGAGGTGAAGACAGGAGTCCCAAGGAGGACAGAGGGCCAAGGGACTTCGGGCCGGCAGGAGAGAGGGAGATGCGAGTGTTAGTTCCGTTCTGCAGGAGCTTGATATCCTGAAAACCTGACGGTAGGGAGAAAAGGCCTGTGGCAAGCACAGTCTTTCCCTGAGAGCAGCAGGTTCAAATCCTGGCCCTTCTGGCTGTGCTTGTGTGGGACGAGGCTTCCCCTCCTGGAGGCTTCCAGCAAAGGAGCCCATGAGACAGGGATGCCCTGCAAAGGTTCCCAGCTCTCACTAGGGCTCCTGCCCACGGGGAAGATGGGGCAGGGCTCGGCCTCTGGCCTCTCGCACACTCAGCACCCCCCCAGCTACATCCCCACCCTGCCCTCGGTCCCCTCCTGCCATCTGTCCTCTCTCCCACAGACTCGGTCTCCCCGCTGTGGAAACGGACCCACTCTCCCAAGTCTGCCTTGGCCTCAGGAGTATCTGTCTACAGGCCCCTGCCCTCTCGGCCCCACACATGACGATCACGCCCCAGTCACGGAGCACGCACAGGCCTGCACGCTCCAGGTGATGGGCCGCTGCTGTGGTTTTGCGCAGCACCCTTCCAGGCCTCTGGAAACTGCACATGGCCTAGGACCTACCAATCTGCAGTCTCTTCCCTTAGCTCTATGATTGGTTCAGGGTGGGCATGTGACCCCAACCAGGACCAGGGAGAGTCAGCCCAGAGACTTCTGTTGGAATGAAGGACCCGAGCCCACCTCTCTGTGGAGGCTGAGGGCAGGGCAGGGGTGAGCCTGGTGCTGCTGGGCTCCTGCCCTGGAGGGCAGCCCTGCCTCCCCAGAGGAAGCAGAGTCCAGAGGCAGAAAGAGGGGCATACCTGGTGAGGACGCTCTGCACCCCACATCTGGGTGTGGCACCACTGCGGGTGGAAACCACGGGATCCCTGGAACCCACAGACTCGGGTTGGTGGGCCCCCGGGGAGGGTACCGAGGGCTCTGGGAGATCCGTGAGCCCGAGGAGTGCCACACTGTGCCGGTGTGCTCCGGGGAGAAGTGCCACACTAGTGCCTGTGGCCCCAAGGGTAAAGAGCGGGCAGGGCACCCGAGTGCGCCCCACGATCCTGTGGGGGCCACACTGCCCACTTCTCTAAGCTCACTCTGCCTCCCTCTCATCAGTGTAGGCGTCTGTGCCTCTCAGTACCAAGAACTGGACATCCCCTAAACACACCTGAGGTTTCACACCACCGTACTTTACCCATGCCGTTCCCGCTTCCTGGAACACTCTTCCACCTCTCTCGTGCCTGAGCTCCTATCCAGCCCCGTGGCCCTGTTAAAACTCTTCCGGTGAAGCCTTCCGGATCCCACCCAGGTAGAGGTTGTCCCTCTCTCTTCTGCTCCGGTCAACCTCGGCATCCCAGACCTAGCCCGGGCGGCCGCGTACAGGCGTGCAGGTTGTCTACTGCGCACCTGGAGGTCCCATCCACATGGGCATCAGGCCGTCGTCTAGCCCTCGTGTACAGGTGTGTTCACCGCCTGTCTCTTCCACGGGGGTGTGAGTCCTGAGAGCCGCCCCTGGATGGAGTCACATCAGTGTTCCCAGAACCCAGCAGATCCGGGCTCAGCTAACATCTGTTGAACGACTGCTTGTGAACGAATGAGGTGACGAGGCGTGGGGAGAGTGGAAGATGGGAGCCGGGAGAATGAAAGGAGGGTGACAAGCCCCATCCAGATTTTTATTTATTCCAGGGGTAAAGCTGAAGTGGTTATTAACAAGGGTAATTATTTGGGATTTGCATCAGGAACTGTGTGTGGAGTGATTTCCAATCAATAATTAATGTCCACCCCCTCCTCCCTCCCCACGAAACTAGGTCAGCCTAGTTTTGCAGGAAAAGCGGTGGGGCTCCACGCAGGTGGCTTCACCCAACGAAGAGCAGCCAGGATGGGGGCAACCTCCCCCAAACGGGGGCACAGGGAAATAGAACGATGCCCTTGTAACCCACCCAAATGGAGCCCAGCTCCAGTGAGCTGCAGGCCCCTCTGGTGCCCCATCCATCTGTCCGTCCACCCAATAGATGCCTGCTGTGTGCCAGGCACGGTGCTGGGTGCAGGGGGATCCAGAGATGAGCCGCCCCCTCGGAGCTCCCAGCCCAGCAGCAGGGCCACACAGGACCAGAGCTGAGCAAAAGGCTGTGCGAGGGCAGGGGCAGCTCTGGGTGACCGTGCCGCACAGGAGACGGTGCCCGGGCTGGCCGCAGCCGGCCTAGGCAGGATGAGGCTCTGTGCAGAGTGACAGCTCAGCGAGGCCGGCAGAGACCCCGCCAGCTCTGGGCTTTGGAGAAGGGGCAATCCTAGAGGCCGGGGCAGAGGCAGGAGGTGTGCAGGAGGGCAAGCAGTGGCTGGAGGAGAGGCGGGGGCGGGGGGAGGGGTGGGAGCCGAGAGGCCTGGAGTCAGCGGCTGGCTTCATGGCTGCTCCCGCGGGCCCAGCCTTTGTTGCTCAATTAATTACATCTCCCTTGTTCTCGGGGATATTGAAATTCTGAAAGACTCCTGACAACCTGGCAGCGCTTCCCTGAATGGCAGCCCCATCCCTCCTCCCTCTGCCCAGCTCCTTCACTGCCCTCCCTGGGGCCCAGAGAGTCCCAGGGCCACAGAGCCTGGCATAATTAGCTAATTAAGGACTTAGAACGAGCTCTGTGCCAGGGAAAAGAGGCTGTGGGATTAGGGCATCAGGGAGGGCCCCAGGAGACCCCGCTGATCCTCCTCTTACGCCCATGGTCAAGTCATTAGCCAGGACAGTTACGCTGCTCTTGGTTCCCCTGGGCTAGCAGGGCACGAGGTAGAGGTGAGGAGAGGAGAGACAGAGGGAGACAGAGAGATGGAAGAGAGAGAGACAGGAACGAGAATCTGAGAAAGATCGAGGGAGACAGGTGGGCACAGAGAGCATAGATGAGGCAGGAGGACGGAGATGTGAGGGGGTGGCTGGAGGGGGTGGGCGGGTACAAAGGAGAGAGGGAGAAATGCCTTCCAGTCACCATCAGTCCCAAGCCTCCACACCTTCCCTAGCAGAAGCTCCTCCTCCAGGCAGCCTTCCCTGATTATCACCCCCAGTTAGTCAGCAAGCCCTCCTCCCTCCAGCTCCCCCATGGCTCTCACTTGTCCTCCCTCAGGGTGCGCTTGCCGGGTTCTTCTTTCTTGGTGCAATCGTTTAGCTTTGCCTGGGCCGGGAACCAGATGACCCTGTGAGTGTGGTTGAGGTCCTTCACCCCCCAACCCCCCGTCAAGAAGGGGAAGACCCTGAGCCACTCGAGTGTCTGATGCAGCCCCCACCCGAGGAGCACCCAGAGCACAGACCCAGGACACCTCTGGGTCCTAGTCCTGCCTGGTGAACAGGTGTACCCCTGCCTGGTGTCCTCGAGGCAGTTTGCCCTCTCTGGGCTCCGCCTAATGTACAGAAGGGGAAGAGGTTCCTGTCCAGCCAGCCCCTCAGGAATACCCGGACAGGACACGACAGAGGGGCCCCTACAGTCGGAGCCTCCAGCAGCCCATCACCCCATAATCCTTACCCCGCCTGCACACACTGCACGCCCACCTTCACCACCTTCCTCCCCCGGCCCTGAGGGAGCCTGGATGGAGGTGCCGCCCTGGGCACTTCCAGGTCCACGTCTCGCAGTGTGGCCCCTCCA